ACTTAAGTGTATGCCCATTACATTTGATTGATTTTCTCAATATCATACTTTGGATGCCTGTCTTCTGCATCCAGGATTCAACATTTGTTCTTTTTATCTCTCATAATCCCTGTTAATTTCTCTCATTTCATAAAGTTTCCAAATTTAAATGTTCCTTGAATTTTGCAACTCCCCTTGTGACTATTTCAAAACGGGTTGACATTAATTATTTACTCATTTCATGACTGAAGTGCTCTTTCAAGCAGAGAAACTCTGGGTCATCATCTGCCTCATCATCATATGTCTTGGAAAATCTCTTAATATAGCCAGGCATCATCTCTAAAATACACCAAAAACTGTTCAAGATCTAAGCAGACTCCTGACTGACCTTAAAAGCATCACACTGAGCAGAGCAGCTCACACATGTTCTGATGAGGGTGATATGTTTGCCTCTGCCCCTCATGAGGGATGCAACGACTTCTAAACACACCCAAGGTCAAGCATGAGTATTTCCTGACCTCTGTTTAAAACAGGAACATTTCCCACTAATAAAGACGCACAGATTTAAGCTACTTATTAACATTTAAGAAATTAAAGTTATGTTATACTGTAAGGAGGGACAGAAGAAGATTACAAATACAGCGAAAATGCATCCCAAACTTCTGCAGGAAAACTACCAACATGGTGCAATTTTCAAATCAGCCCTGCTCACCTTTTGTCTTTTGCAGCGACGTCCTCCGTTTCTAATGGACGCGGTTTCCTGATAATACGAGGAGAAATAAATGGGCATATCCACCTAGCAGCTTACGTGCGGGCTTGTGGTCCAGACGAAGCGCGCACAGGACTCGGGGGACGGATGGAGCATCACATGATGAGCATCTGAACATCTGACAGGAGGGGAGGAGAGTCCGGAGCGCACCGTGACGCACGGAGAGCCGCTCCTCATCACCAGCGCGCACTGTTACCTGCAGCTGTGCAGCGCAGCTTATCCGGAGACAGGACTGCTGCTGGAACTGCTGGATTAAGGAAAGGAAGGGAGACTTTTTTATTTTTTGATTAATGAATCTGCTGTGAAAAAAAAAGAAACAAACAAACTTTTTATACATGATCACAATCTATAGTTTAGTTTAAAGCAGAATTGGGTTTCATGCCTTGCTTTCTTATTTATTTATTTTTTTCGTTCGTTTTTTAAATTTTCTTTTTTCTTTGTCTTAATTCAATTAAATGCTATTATATTAATTGTGTTTATATTGCACCAATTCACAACAGTCATGTCATCAAGGGACTTTACACAGACAAATACAGTCGGATTGGTTAAAAGTTTCTATAGAGGAAAACCAGGTGATTGCATCCAGTCATTGACTTGCAAGACATGCTCCTCCTGGATCACAAGGTTTTCTTGCATTCTGTAGAAAACCTTCACACAGAGAATGCAAACTCCCCTCTAACAGGAAGAAACCTCAAGCAGACTTACGAACAGGTGCAGACAGGTTTCTGTAAGACAACACAGATCAATTTTTCTTCATTTTCTTTTTTTGCATAAAGTAGACATGGATCTTTTCATGGAACCCTATTCTTAATCTATAGGGCAACGTTTATGTATGGAGCACCCTTCTCAACAATATGAGAACATTATACTATAACATCTCCCTTAGGGGTGTGCTCAGAGCTAGAGGACAAAATGGAATTGAAACTACACTGTAAAAAAAGTCAGTAAATTTACGGTAAAAAAAGGTAAAAAACCAACAGTTTTTGACCGTCGTATCCAAAAATATTGCATTACCGTAGAAATTACATGGAACTACCGTAAGTCGAAACTGCAAAGAAAGTCAGTAAATTTACGGTAAGAAATGGTAAAAGACCAACAGTTTTTGACCGTCGTACCCAAAAACGTTGCATTACCGTAGAAATTACATGGAACTACCGTAAGTCGAAACTGCAAAGAAAGTCAGTAAATTTACGGTAAGAAATGGTAAAAGACCAACAGTTTTTGACCGTCGTATCCAAAAACATTGCATTACCGTAGAATTACATGGAACTACCGTAAGTCGAAACTGCAAAGAAAGTCAGTAAATTTACGGTAAGAAATGGTAAAAGACCAACAGTTTTTGACCGTCGTACCCAAAAACGTTGCATTACCGTAGAATTACATGGAACTACCATAAGTCGAAACTGCAAAGAAAGTCAGTAAATTTACGGTAAGAAATGGTAAAAGACCAACAGTTTTTGACCGTTGTATCCAAAAACATTGCATTACCGTAGAAATTACATGGAACTACCGTAAGTCGAAACTGCAAAGAAAGTCAGTAAATTTACGGTAAAAAATTGTAAAATGCCAGCAGTTACTGACTAGAATATTCACAGCATTATACTGCCGTAGAAAATACATGGCATTATCATAACTGAATAAATATATATCCTAAATAATTGTGACAGTCACGAATGTAGAAAATACAGAAATATAGTGTAAAAATATAAGTAATTGTAAAGTTCTTAAAAAATTGTAATATTGCCAGCAGTTAATTACCCTAAACTTAACAGTAGCAATCAGCCAAAATTACAAATTTTGCTGATGTTTAGATCTACAATGTAAAAGCGTAAACAAGACTGCAAAAGAATTTTTTACAAAGAACAGAATGCTGGTGTGATATTCTGGTTTCTTTTTTAATAATGCCTTTAATACACCAAACTGAAATCTCAGCAGTAGACCAGGCATCGATCTGGCGATCCACCGATTGCAAAGCAAACTCCTACAGCCAACGCCACCATCACTTATGAGAGTATTTGATCATTAACATTAAGAGAACTGTATGTTAGCCCCTCTTGCTTGAATGAAGCTGAAGTTGGTTTCCAATTGCTGCTTCCAATTTGGGAAATGGCTAAAGGGCAATTCCACCCAATTTTTCACTACAATCAGCATCTTTAATTTACTCTAGCTAAAAAACTACAACACCTAGACTCTTCAAATCTGGACTAGATTATTCTCAACTCATATCAGAATATTTAAAACCAAGTGTGGGGTTTGTAAAACCTTTATCTGATTTGTGAAATTTCAATAAAGAACAATTTTAATGTTATCCAAAGTCATACAAGTTGTAAAGTCACCCATCATTGAAGTTTCACAAATCCCACACTTGGTTTTAAATATTGTGCTATTACTAGAGATCTGTTCTGTCTTTGAAACTGTCGACGGGGGGGGGGGTATTGCTGACTACGACCCATTCGCGGGCGCTTTTAGATAGATTTTTACCCAGAATGGAAATGGAAAAAACCGTGAGTGAAACTGGGACTGACTAGTATATATTTGAGGGAAAGTTAGTTTAACATCTGCTCAAGAGCCCCCTGGTGGTTGAAGAAAAATCCACAAACCAGAAAATACAATATATGAATAAAATACACTGAATGCTCTCTGGTATGAGGAGGCAGGTCGGATCCAGCATTGCCAGACCAAATGACACAGGCTGTAGTTTGGGGACCCCTTGTCTAGAGAGTTTTTCATTTTGTTATTGTGATAAATAGCAGGGTTTACAGTAAATGGAGACTGTTATTTGTCATGTAAACAAATAATTATCTAGTTTGCATTGCTGCTTGATCCTTCAGCATCAGCAGCAAGATTCTTTTAACTCTGTTCCTGTAGTGGTGTCCTGAACTCAACACAGTAAAGTCACTGTGCTAACTAAGGTTGCTAACTAGGGTGCTGAGAGCCCAGTAGGCCTGGTCCTTGTCAAGATGCTGCTACTGTCTTTGAAATCAAATTTCTGCTATTTTTGCACGTTCAGGAGGAGAAGGGCAACACATCACAGGTGAGTCCCTTTCACGGTTTTAACTGAAGTTAGCTAACTTTAACCAACTGACAAAGAAATGTGTAGTTTCTGAGCCATGCTGTTTATGTATATGCACTGCAGCTATATATTTTTACTATACGGAACATTTAATCTTCACAGATGCAACACTTCCATTAATGTTTCTGTAGGAACGGCTGCATAGATTATATTTCTGGTCTACTTTAGACTACATGTGCTTAAAGTTATTGTTAATGGCAGAAGCAACTTTTTCCAAGTTTGGTTCAATAATTAATTTGAATTACTTTGAGTGTGAAATGTTCATGCATGCAAGTTAAATCTCTGAAGAACATGTTAGCTTTTGTTTCAATACTTTGGTAATACTTAGAAGTATAAAGCTTGGCATCAGAGATATTATTTAATATTTTCCTTTGACGTCTTGACTCTCACCCCCAAAATACTTGCACTAAAGTCACTGGGTCCATGACAGTTGAAGGATTTTAAAATAAGAGAATTTAAATATTAATATTTTACAGCTTTTCTCAGTTTGGGTGCATCTCTCAGAACAGAATTGAAATTCCTAAAACTACCTGTTCAATCTTCAAATTACTGTGTCACTTCTGCACATCAAAAAATTAGTTTTGCAAGTTTTGCTTTTGTACATCATGTAGCTGGTTATGTACACTTCTATGCTTTTATAATTGTAATTTGCTTTTATCGTCTTGATCAAAATATGTTAACCCTCCTGTTGTCCTCGGGTCAAAATGACCCGCCACTGTGTTAACCCCCCCCCCCCCCCAAAATCCCCTAAATGTAATTTTTTTAACTTGAGATTTTAAGACTTTTCCTAGATTGGCCCAGACAATAGAAAAAGTTCAGTGTTGCTTTTAGTCTCATTTCCATGTAAGCTGTACAAAAAAAGGTACAAAGATGGTCTTCAGGTCAAAATGACCCGTGAGGCAAATGGAGTTGAAATCAAGGTCACAGAGTTATTTACAAACCATAAAATGTTACAAAGTTTTAGTTGTGTCTCAGATCAATCAGTAGCAGAAGTAAGCAGAGAGTGGAAGGCCAATTTTCCGAGCCACAATGCCACTCAAACTCTTTCACACCTACTCAAGACTGATGCGATTTGATGACCGTGAATCAAGACCAGCAAGATGTATGACAGACAAACTTGCAGCCATAAGAGAGGTATGGGACAAATGGGTGGAGCGGTTACCCTACCTCTATAATCCAGAGCCTGATGTAACAGTGGATGAGCAACTGGTTCCATTTAGAGGTAATCTGTTTTCATATTTGTAATAAAAGTGATTTTCACTATTGATTTCTTTGACTGTTTTCTGTGACACTGATACTAATCACTGATGCTAATGTCTTTTGTCCAAAGGTTGTTGTCCTTTCCAGCAGTATATGCCCAGCAAGCCAGCAAAATATGGGATCAAGTCATGGGTGGCTTCCGAATCAAGCTATGCTTGGAAAATGCAAGTCTATACTGGGAAGTCAACCAGTGGATGCCCAGAGAAGAACCAGGGGTTGCGAGTTGTGCTTGATGTGACAGAGGGACTGAGGGGTCACAATGTGACATGTGACAATTTCTTCAACTCTTATGAACTCGGACAGCAGCTCCTGAAGAGGAAGATCACCATGGTTGGTACAGTTCGAAAGAACAAGCCTGAGCTCCCACCTGCACTGCTTGGGTCAAAGGAGAGAGAGGTCTTCTCCTCAAAGTTTGCCTTCACACCCACCACCACTCTAGTTTCCTACCTCCCAAAGAAAAACAAGAATGTAGTTCTTCTGAGCACACTGCACAAAGACGGCGACACTAGTGACCGTGAGGACAGGAAGCCAATCATTATCCTGGAATTCAACCGAAACAAAGGAGGTGTGGACAACCTAGATAAGGTGATTGGAGCATATAGCTGCAGAAGAATGACTGCCCGCTGGCCCCTGGTCATCTTCCACAACATCATTGATGTGTCCTCCTACAATGCCTTTGTGATTTGGATAGAGATCAACCCAACCTGGATGTCTCATAAGCACAACAAGAGGAGGGTGTTCCTGGAGCAGCTAGGAAAGGCACTTGTAACTCCACTCATTGAAAGAAGGAAGCATGTCCCCCGCACAGAAGCCTCAGCAGCAGTTGTGAAAGCTATTCAGAGTGCAGCAGCTCCTGATCAACCTGAGGATCCATCTACCACAGCCACTTCCCCAGCTAAGCCAAGTAAGAGGAAGAGATGTCGGTTCTGCCCTCAGACTGTAAAACACATACTGTGTGCTGCAGGTGTAAGAAATATATCTGCAAAGACTGTGCACTTGCATACTGCCCTACATGTGCCAATTAGTTGAATGGGTTATGTTATTTTTCATATTTTTGTATTGTACATCCTCTTGTTCACTGGAGAAAAGTAAAAGAAAATTAGTCACTGTGATGAATAAAAATGCATTCGAAACTCATTTTGCACATTTTTTTTCTTAAGCTATAGAAATTCAAGTGGAGAGGGAAAACTCAAGTATTCACACATTTTGTGGTGAGTGACAATATACAAGATAGAATTTGGTGTTTAAAATTCAATTAAGCTGCTTATATTGGGGGTTTAGTGAAGACGGGTCATTTTGACCCGGAGGATAAAGGGTGTATACAGAAAATGAGGACAACAGGACAACAACGTGTCTGTGTTGAATTCTCAACTTCCAAAATAGCATCAGTTCATTGTGTAAGTCTTAACATGCATAAGTCTTAAAGTTGTCATAATGTGAATCATATATTAATTAATTTATATTCTATTATTTTCTAAATCTGTCCTGAATTGGTAAATTGCTCCCAAGTGAGTCCTGAGTTTCTCTAACAGGTCAGTGTATGAACCATTAGCTCAACCAATGATCAACCATTTTGTGGTGAGTGACAATATACAAGATAGAATTTGGTGTTTAAAATTCAATTAAGCTGCTTATATTGGGGGTTTAGTGAAGACGGGTCATTTTGACCCGGAGGATAAAGGGTGTATACAGAAAATGAGGACAACAGGACAACAACGTGTCTGTGTTGAATTCTCAACTTCCAAAATAGCATCAGTTCATTGTGTAAGTCTTAACATGCATAAGTCTTAAAGTTGTCATAATGTGAATCATATATTAATTAATTTATATTCTATTATTTTCTAAATCTGTCCTGAATTGGTAAATTGCTCCCAAGTGAGTCCTGAGTTTCTCTAACAGGTCAGTGTATGAACCATTAGCTCAACCAATGATCAACCAGTTTTCTGAAACAGATTGGAGGTGCATCTTGTGAACCATCAGTTGGCAACATTATGCTCTATATAGTCAGAACACAACACAATGTTACATGTCTGAGAACTGATGAACAAGTATCTGGACAGAGTGAACAGCCAGAGAGAAGAAGAGGAGTGAGGCTGAGGAGGAAATAGTTGGGAGGAAAGCAGAAGAAGAGTCAGAAGAGGCTGAGGACATCTGCCAGTTTCCATCAGTCCAACATCAGGACATGGCTGAGACCCACAACATGACGCTGATGGAGGTCCTCCCACCCTACTGTTCATTCCTTAACCCCACTGAGGAAAAAAGATCCTCAGTGGAGTTAAGGAACAAAGTGACTATGGAAATTAAAATGTAATGTAATTTCTACAGCACTGTACAGTTTTCCTTGAGGAGATTGTCCTGTGGCTCCTTTTCTACTTTTTTTGTTCTCTGCATTTCTGTCTTTTTCTTTCTGAATCACCAAGGCATGGTCCATGAATAAATTATAGCAAAAGCGTAAATCAGTGTTTCTCAATCCTGGTCTTCAGCGTCACCCTGTCCTGCAGGCTTAGGTATTTCCCTTCTGCCACACACCTGAATTGTATCTCTGGATGATTAACAAGCTTCTGCAGTACTTGATTGTCATCCAATCATTTGAATCAGCTGTTCTGGAGTAGAGGCACATCTAAAACATGCAGAGCAGGGGGTGGTGAGGAGCAGGGTTGAGAAACACTGGCGTAAATGATCCTTTTGTAGTCTCTTCTCATGACTAATCAATTTGACTGTCTTATCTGTACATAGAGAGACTATAACTTATTATTTTGAGTCACTGATATGTTAACAGACAGAATTTTAAGAGCTGAACTAAGGATTTTGAAAGCAAACAAATGCTATTTTTCCTGTTTCTACAAATTGTTTTGAGAAATGCGCTTACTGTTTTGTAAATGCCAACAATGACTTGAGAAATGCACCAAAAGTGACTGAGAAAAACTAACCTAGCATAAATTGTCTCAGCTGTATCAATTTGTTTGCCTGTATGAAAAGTGTTCACATTTACAGCTTTGTTTCTGCTAGCTTGCAGGAAATGTAACTTACATAAATGGTTGAAGACAACCTATTGGCCTTCATGAGACTCAGATAAATGGTGAGTATCTATTTCATAAATTGCCTAAAACAGTTATATTTGTTTTTATTTGTTTTTTGTTTGTGTATTTTGTCTGGTTGCAGACCAGAGGATCACACCTGTTGACAACAAACAAAGGTTTAACTACTGAATTTTCAGTCAGAAATGATCGCACCACCTGGTTGAAGTACCTGTGTCCATATCCAAGTCAACAAAGGTGAAACAAACATTTAAGCGAATAAGATGTTCATGTAGTGCATCTTTCTAACTTTTTCTTTTTGTTTTCCAGCAGAGAGGAAACACCCGATTGACAACATGCGAGTCTCAATTTCAACCTGTGACTGGGAAGACTACAACCATCCTGAGCAACGTCTGATCTCAGCGACTTGTGACTCTCAACCCAGAACAAGAATCCTTTTATCACCATTTTGTCTTCTACAATATGTTATCTCTTATGTGGACACATACTGTTTGTTTTGTTTCTGTTTTCCAGATCTCAGTAATACCGTGAGGAAACTGGACAGAAAATAGAATCAGTTCTTTTTTTAACTTGACTTTTTAAATAGAAATTGTTTCTTTAAGTGGATTACTCGTAATCTGTATTTTTGTTTAATTAGAAATTATTTTCTTTATAACTTTCTGTATAGAAATGCTTGACAAGTTACACTTCCTTGTGTGTTGTACTATAATTTGTATGGTAAAATTCTGGTAGGAACAGAGACCAGTAATTTACCATAAGTTTTTTTTGGGGGGCAGGGTTTACAATAAAATGTCAATATATCATCCAGTCTGGATGTGTTTTTCACTCATGGAGATATTATGCCTCAGTCAGCATGACCGTATTTATTACGGCAAAACCACATTTTATTTTTTTTTAAATATTTTAGGAAGTACGGTATTTTACCGTATTTTAAAAATACGGTAGAATCCTGCATTTACAAAATACGGTAATAAACTGGCAGCTGTGGTTGCCAGAATTTTACCGTATATTAAAAATACGGTAGAATCCTGCATTTACAAAATACGGTAAAAAACTGGCAGCTGTGGTTTCCAGAATTTTACCGTATTTTAAAAATACGGTAAAATCCTGCATTTAGCAAATACGGTAAAAAACTGGCAGCTGTGGTTGCCAGAATTTTACCGTATATTAAAAATACGGTAAAATCCTGCATTTAGCAAATACGGTAAAAAACTGGCAGCTGTGGTTGCCAGAATTTTACCGTATTTTAAAAATACGGTAAAATCCTGCATTTAGCAAATACGGTAAAAAACTGGCAGCTGTGGTTGCCAGAATTTTACCGTATATTAAAAATACGGTAAAATCCTGCATTTAGCAAATACGGTAAAAAACTGGCAGCTGTGGTTGCCAGAATTTTACCGTATTTTAGAAATACGGTAAAAAACTGGCAGCTTTGGTTGCCAGAATTTTACCGTATTTTAGAAATACGGTAAAAAACTGGCAGTTTTGGTTGCCAGAATTTTACCGTATCAAGACGGTAAACTTCTGGCAACTCAGCTGCCAGTTTTTTACCGTAAAATGAGGCCGTTTTTTTTTACAGTGTAGTTCATCCCAAAGGTGTTCTACAAGGTTAAGTTCGGGACTTTGTGCAGGCATCAGAGATCTGATCTGCAAGATATCACTGGAAAAACATGAAGGCTTTTAGGAACCTGTTCAGCAGAAAGAGAAGAAAGTGCAGCTTTTCAACAATGTACATCAACAATGTACAGCCATTGGTTTAAAACAAACAGAACATTTTTTTAAATAAGAGAACCCTGCTTATAGACATTGATATTGGTGGCAGTGTGATGGTCTGGGACTACTTTGCTGATTCAGGAGCTTGATAACATGCAACAATTGAAGGAACCTTGAATGTTGCTCTCTACCACAAAAATCCAACAAAAAAGGGCACTGGAGTTAACTTTGATCCAAGTTACATTTTTCAGCATAACCTTTAAACTGCAATCAATGAGTCTGAATCCAAGCTGGTCTGGAGAAGTTCCCCTCATAAAGAATCATTGCAAGTTATCACATATACTTGAGTGCAGTTATTATGGCCAAAGAGGGAGCAGTCAATAGTAGGATGAGAGAACCATTACGCAATCATACTGTATACATTTTGCCTCCCAACAAGTGAAATGATCTCCTAAAAAGCTTATATTTAGGTTGCATTTATTTGAAATGCATTCCATCCATCCATCCATCCATCCATCCATCCATCCATCCATCCATCCATCCATCCATCCATCCATCCATCCATCCATCCATCCATCCATCCATCCATCCATCCATCCATCCATCCATCCATCCATCCATCCATCCATCCATCCATCCTCTCCAAAAGGCTGGGCACACTCTGGACAAATCGCCAGCCTGTCGCAGACATTCCATTCAGGTTAAGCTTAATTTGTTTGATGAGGATTCCTGTAGATCCAATCAGAACAACATACACACAACCATGAGGAACATGAAGCACAGAAAAAGTTACATTGTCCTACAACTTTAAAAATCCAATCTCTTTATCCTGTGGTATGCCGGCAGTTGGAGCGGGTGGTCCTCTGCTCTTTTAAGATGCTGGATGGTATGCAGCAGACACTTCCCTGAGGGGAACATAAATCACACTCTATCCAATGCAATATTTTTAACACAGCAGAGTTTGGGGAGGAAGATAGTATCGAGTGGTCGTTTTTCATCATCACCTAATGGATTTATGTTGTTCCCACATGTCTGCCTCCCTGCCTGTTGACACTATGTTATCCCTAGTAATTACACATTAGATTTAATTACATATGTAAACATTCCTCAAAATCATCTGACCTATTGTAGGAAAAGCATATTTCAGTGCTCTAGTGTATTACTACAAGCATTCCAGGCTTAATGAATCTAGTTTCTTCTTCTACAAACATGTTTAGCTTTATAGTGTTAATCCTTATTGTTCAAGCTGACTACCATGGAGCCACATCATCCCAAGGATTGTATTTCTCATCTCTGCACTGTCTTCCCTGGACATGTCTTGTGATAAATCACTTCATGGTGATTGGATGCTGGGGCCTTTGAGGCTTCAGTGGCATCCAGTGGAGGGAGATAGTGTTACATCTTTTAAGAAGCAAAATGTTAGAAAGACATCTCCTCTTTCTAATGCAGCACAGCTCTTCGATCAGTCGTTACAGAAATATCTCAATGTGTGCTGGAAGATTAGCATTGCAGGCATACATAATAAAATAGCACTGATGCATATCCTTTATCTCTTTTTTACATGAGCTAAAATATTGGCTATTGTTTCAAATGTTTTTTTTTTTCTTTCCAAATAAATTGATACATGTTTGTTCTTCTGCTTTTGTGTAGCACTTTAGTCCGATTGGTTATTTAAAGTGCTATATAAAAAAAGCTGGTAATTCACCTTCTTCATGCTTTCTCGTTTCTTTCCAGTGTACTGGACATAATCACCAAACCCTGACAGAGGGTGACACATTAATATCTCATCTGCTAGGTTCTCAGCATGGGTGTCTCCATCAGCCTTTTCTGAATTTTGAAGTGTCACATCAGAAAAGTTTGATGGAGACGACAAAATTCCAGAAAGTTTTTACCCTCGCCTGAGGTGGTTTTTGGCTTCTTGTGTTCAGTGAATGGAAACTCATTTGTAACCGACGTTGATCAAGCTCTGCCCAGGTGGTAACACAACATCTTTATGGTGGAACCACAAGTTTGCTTCTCGTGCAAAGAGGCACATTTCAGTCAGAGATAACCCTTGGCTAACATTGGGAAGACAATGGTTTCACAGTCTGATAATTTGATTGAAAGAATGCAAACTTGAGTATTCTTCAACAGTATTGTCATCATTTAGCATTTTCTCGGTTATGTTCAACAAAAACTAAGATCCCAAATTCTTTTCTTTCTATTAATCTTATGCTAAACCAGATCTGTAACAAAGGAAATGTTGCTCCATCTGAATGAGTTGAAGAAATTATGCCTTCATTAGAAGGGTTCTGCAAATAAATCATCTGCTGAATGATTTTAACAGCACAACTTAAAGTTATTTTATTCATCTCTTGAATGTTTTAACCAGGATAAGTGGGTATGAATTAATCTGAAATGCAGTCTTATACAGATTCATCTCCAGAGTTGAATCTGTATAAGACTCACAAGGTTGTATGTGTGAATGGTTGTATGTCTCTGTGTTTGCCCTGCCATGGACTGGCAACCCGTCCAAGGTTTACCCTGATTTCCCCCCATAGACTGCTGGAGATAAGCATTGTCCCTACTGCAACCCTATTGGATTAAGTAAGAGTAGATGATGGACTTTTGTTGAAGCAATAGATTCTACCACATGAACCATGCTGAGTGTCCTGCGATTGCAAAAAAACAACAACACTATTTCCTTTAGACATTCAGCGTGAATTACCTACCCGTTTTATTTTGTAAAGCAATTCTTGTCTGAGAACATTACAATGCTTTAAACAATTCGTTGTTTGTGACATGTTTTCCATTTTCTCATACATGTACTAGGACAGCAGTCTCAGCAGAGACTCCCAGACTTACCTTTCCCCAGACATCTTATTCAGTTCAGCTGGTTGAAGCCACTGATCTCTATTTATTCACTGGATTGCTGATTGCGGTTGGTAGTATGGGGTTGAAGTGAAGCTACCGGCCGCCATATTGGTACTCCCTAGTTAGACCGGACAATAAACAATGTGTGCTACAGCATCGAACAATGATGATGTCATTTTCAGGGGACTTAAGACTTTTAAAATAAAGATAAATTCATCACTTTGAAACACATTTGCTGTTTCAATGCATAAGTAAATTGTTTTAACTTATAATAAAAAAAATAGGCACATCACATGGCAGAGTCATTATGAAGTCAATGAAGTCTATAAATCATGCAATATAACACATTATACAAATCCATCACAATAAAATGAATGTGTTAATGGAACATAATAATTCAAAAGTGCTAAAATGAAAATGTAACTGTAAAATACATGTATTAATTACATTGTTATGGCAATTACATCTTACATATAATTTTAAGATTTTACATAAAAACTGAATTACAAGTACATTTCTGTTAATGCTTAAGTATTTTTTCTATTTGTAAATGGTGCATGCATGATACCATATACTTTTATACTCTGTCTGTGCATTAGCCTTTAAATCTGACACAGATTTACAATAGAGCTGAATTAATGAACCAATTTAATAACTCCACTGTGCTTCAGTTTCTACACTAGCAAAATCACAATAATTGGTAAAATAACAGACAACATAAAGTTAATATTTTGCTTTTTGCTCTTAGTTACAACAAGAATCTGATAACTTGAAAAAAAACTAGACATACAAGTATGTATGCACACATTGACACTAACAGTGAAATTACCTATGAAACGACTTCCCACAGCCAGCAAACTGCTTGTTTTTTCAGCCAAATGCTGCACGTGTAGGCATTTTACTGCGCGTCTCTGTGAGTGTGGGGAGTACCAGCATGGCAGATGGTGGCTTCACTTTTTTTCGGGCAATCAGCAATCCAGTGAATAAATAGAGATTAGTGGTTGAAGCCAGAGGAGTTCTAACACCTGCCGAGACATAGTCCCCCCAGCATGTTATAGGTAGTCCACTCCCGATGGAACAGCTAGGTTGCCCCCTATGTCTGATCTACCTCAGCTGACTCCTCTTGATGTGAAGGACAAGTGTCTCTACTCTGAGCCTCCCAAGAATACCTGAGCTCCTCACTTTAAACTTTTCAAAGCCAGAGCCTAG